AACCAGCTATCATGGGGAGAGACCCCTAATATTAATGGCACTGATGTGAGGCTCTCTAGAGGAAAAAAATGACAAACACCAGAGTAGAGAGGACACCTCTTCCCCTGAGGTATATCCAGTGATGAAAACACAGTCAGGGAGGAAGGGAGGGAGGAAGCAAAAGAAAAAAAAGACAAAACTGAAACAGTTTGACCAATTGGTGATCCAACGTCTACAACTAAAAGAATTTACACAAGAAAGGTAAAAGGACACTGCTTGACTTTGGGCCTCTTCAATGTATAACATCTTTCATGCCTTCAAAAGGAACTGGGATGACTGAAGGCTTTCCCACATTCTCTACATTTGTATGGTTTCTCACCAGTGTGCATTCTCATGTGCCCTCTAAAGGTAGTGAGATAAATGAAGGCTTTCCCACATTCTGTACGTTCATAAGGTTTTTCTCCAGTGAGAGTTTTTTCATGTGTTAGAAAGGATGTGTAACAACTGAAGGCTCTGCCACAGTTTACATTCATAGGGTTTCTCGCCTGTGTGAGTTCTCTGATGAATTTGAAAAGAACTGGGAAAATTGAATGCTTTCCCACATTCCTTACACTTATAAGGTCCATCTCCAGTGTGTATTATCATATGTGTTCGAATGCTGGAGAAATGAAGGCTTTCCCACATTCTTTACATTTATAGGGTTTCTATCCAGTATGCTTTCTCATATGTCCTTGAAAGGTTGTGTAATAAATGAAGGTTTTCCCACATTCTGTACATTCATAGGGTTTCTCCCCAGCATGAGTTCCTTCATGTATTCAAAAGGAACTGGGTCAACTGAAAGTTTTACCACACTGTTTACATTCATATGGCTTCTCTCCAGTGTGAGTCCTTTCATGTGATCGAAATGAACTGGGACAAATGAAGGCTTTCCCACATTCCTTACACTTGTAAGGTCCATCTCCAGTGTGCATTATGTGTAGAATGCTTGAAAGAGAAATGAAGGCCTTCCCACATTCTTTACATTCATAAGGTTTCTCTCCACTGTGAATTCTTTCATGGATTTGCAGACTTAGAGGAGAACTGAAAGTTTTCTCACGTTGTTTAGTTTCATATTGTTTCTCTGCTGTGTGGATCCTTTCATGTCTTTGAAAGGAACTAGGACAGTTGAGGGCTTTACCACACTGCTTACATTCATAGGGTTTTTCTCCAGTGTAGTTTCTTTCATGGATTTGCAAGTCTAGAGGAGACCTGAGGGATTTACCACAGTTTACATATGAAGGGCTTCTCTCCAGTGTGAGTTCTTTCATGGGCTTGAAATGAAGTGGAACAACTAAAGTATTTCCCACATTCCTTACATTTATAGGGTCCTTCTCCAGTGTGTGTTATCATATGTCTTCGGAAGGTTGTGAGCCATGTGAAGCCTTTTCCACATTCCTTACATTCATAGAGTTTTTTTCCAGTTTGAATTCTTTCATGTCTGTGAACAGATTTGTGGTGACTGAAGGCTTTCCCACATTCTTTGCATTTATATGGTTTCTCCTCATATTCATGATACTCATATGGTTTGTGTACAGTGTGAGATCAGATGTGACTATTAAGAAATGAATGACACAAGAAGACTTTTCCACACACACGACATTCACATGGTTTTACTCCAGAAGTTTTCTGGTTTGGATTAAGATTTAGAATCTGGCTGACAGCTTCTCTAGGTTGACTACCTTCTTTGCTTTCACAGAGTTTTTCTACCACATGAATTCTGTAAAAAAAAAGAGAAATTATTTATTTCTTTAATAATTTCACATTTATTATTAGGGTATTAGAACTACATTTTTATATTTTGTAGCAAAAGTGAATGTTTTTTGCCCTTTCTAAACTGTTTGAAAGCTCTGTAACAGGACTATTATGAAAACAGTGATATTAATATATGGAGTTTCTTAATATTGTTTCCCAAAGTGGATAAAGTTACAAACAATGAACACCCATGTCACATTTAAATAAATACTTTCAGTGGAAAAAGAATTAAGGATAAATAAAATTGAAGCTGGGATTATTTTGTTTTATTTGCTTATTTTAAAAAGCTGCGATAGGGGCTTCCTTTGTGGCTCAGGGGTAAAGAGCCCAGCTGCCAATGCAGGAGACATGGGTTGGATCCCTGATCTGGGGAAATCTCATACTCCGCAGAACAACTAAGCCCAGATGTCACAACTACTGAGCCTGCATACTGCAAGTACTGAAGGTCGAATGCCCGAGAGCATGTGCTCCACAAGAGAAATCCCCGCAATGAGAAATCCATGCACTGCAACTAGAAAATAGCCCTTACTCTTCACAGCTAGAGAAAAAGCCTGTGCAGCAACAAAGACCTAGGACAACCAGAAATAGATACACAAAGAACTAAAATTTAAAAAAAAAAGTTAATGACACACCAGGACTCTCACGTGGGACACTGTCTACTGTGTGTGTAACTCACCTTAGTTTCCTCCCTAGGGTTTTGTACCAATCTTCAATGTTATGACTGTCTCATTTTTTCCCTAAAATGCAGACCCAGAAAAATAATGCAAATTATTATAAATTATAGAACAATATTAGATTCTAGGTCCACAATGAACTGTGACATGCTTAGTTTATTTACCAGTGTATGGTAGTCCTCCCTTATTCACAGTTTTGCTTTCTGTGGTTTCAGTTACCTATGGTCAATTGCAGTCTGAAAATATTAAATGGAAAATCACATAAGTAAACAATTCATAGTTTTAAACTGTGCACCCTTCTGAGTAGCATGATGAAATCTTGCAACATGCCCTCCATCATGTCCAGGATATGAATCATCCCCTTGTCCACTGCATCCATGCTGTATATGCTACCTGCCCATTTGTCACTTAGTTGCCATCTCGGTTGTCAGATCACTGTGGTGATATCTCTGTGCTTATGTTCAAGTAATCCTCATTTTCTTTTTAAAACAAACTTTAGAAGACTATAATATGATGCCTTTTTAAATTTTTAAAAAATATTAATTTGGCTACACTGAGTCTTGGTTGCTGCATGTGAGATCTAGTTCTCTGAACAGAGATTGAACCTGGCTCCCCTGCAGTGGGAGCATGGAGTCTTAGCCATTGGACCATCAGGGTAAGTCCCCTCATTTTTCTTAATAATGGCCCCAAAATGCAAGAATAGTGATGCAAGAATTAGGGTATGCCAAACAGAAACTGCAAAGTCCTTTTTTAATGAAAAGATGAAAATTCCAACTTAAGAAAAGATATATACTGATGTTGCTAAGATCTATAGGAGAAATTAATCTTCTGTCATTAAATTGTGAAAGAAAAAGAAATTGATCTTATTTTGCTGTCTCATCTTGAACTGCAAAGTTACACACACTTAACACTTATGTGTGTTAAGTGCATGTGTATTATACTTGTTCTATTCTTAGTTATTGTTATCAGTCTCTTGGCTATTGTTGGTTAGTTGCTAAGTCATGTCCAACTCTTTCGCAACCCTATGGAGCTTGCCAGGCTCCTCTGTCCATGGGATTTTCCAGGCAATAATACTGGAGTGGGCTGCCATTTCCTTCTCTGTATCAATCTCTTACTGTGCACCAAATTCTAAACTTACCATAGGTATGTATGTATAGGATTCAGTACTATTTATGGTTCCAGGCATCCACTGGTGGTCTTGGAATGTATTCCATGCAGATAAGGGGGACTACTATAGTCCTTTTCCACATTTCACATCTTGGAACAATGTTGATTGGCAAGGAATACTTGTTCTCGAAGAAGTGAAGAAATGTCATTCTTACCTATTGAGATCAGGTTCCCCAGAATTATCTGCATCACATCTCTGTAAAGTTTCTTCTGCAAAGGATTCAGTAAAGCCCACTCCTCTGGGGTGAAGTTCACAGCCACATCCTCAAAAGTCACTGTGTCCTAAAACATCACAAATATGTTTCCAGTAAGATGTGTGAGTCTGACAGAACTCTGGGATTTATGCTCAATTTATAGGAAGATTGTATATGATTCTATCACCTTCAAACATTTATTTTATGTCTTGGTCATCAGAACTTACTTTTTGTCCATACTTATTTCATCATGAATTCAACAGCATAACGAACACATGCAAACTATTTATGCATTTTTACTGTGACCACTTGAAATGTTACTGCTCTCTAATGTGAAGGTCTAGAGGGCCTTGGAGAAATGAGAAAAATGCTACAAAAATGAATCAAATATCATTTTAAACACATCAATCTCTTTTGAAAAAAACTCATCTCCTTTGTTATCACACACCATTTAACTTAGTCCTTCATGATGTATGGGGTCTTCCCAGGTGGCACAGTGGTAAGGAATCTGCCTGCCAACGAAGGAGACACAGGAGACATAGGTTCAGTGCATGGGGTGGGAAGATCCCCTGCAGAAGGAAATGGCAACCCACTCCAGTATTCTTTTTTTAAATTTTAATTGGAGGCTAATTACTTTACAATATTGTGGTGGGTTTTGCCATACATTCACATGAATCGGCCATGGGTGTACATGTGTTCCCCATCCTGAACCTCCCTCTCACCTCCCTCCCCATTCCATCCCATCCCTCAGGGTCATCCCAGTGCACCAGCCCTGAGCACCCTGTCTCACGCATCGAAACTGGACTGGCAATCTGTTTCACATATGATAATATATATGTTTCAATGCTATTCTCTCAAATCATNTTATTTTTCTGGAATTGAGCTGCAGAAGTTGCTTGTATATTTTTGAGATTAATTCTTTGTCAGTTGCTTTGCTGCTATTTTTCTCCCATTCTGAAGGCTGTCTTTTCACCTTACTTATAGTTTCCTTCATTGTGCAAAATCTTTTAAGTTTAATTAGGTCCCATTTGTTTATTTTTGCTTTTATTTCCAATATTCTGGGAGGTGGGTCATAGAGGATCCTGCTGTGATTTATGTCAGAGAGTGTTTTGCCTATGTTTTCCTCCAGGAGTTTTACAGTTTCTGGTCTTACATTTGGATCTTTAATCCATTTTGCCACTCCAGTATTCTTGCTTGAGAAATCCCATGGACAGAGGTGACTGATGGGTTACAGTCCATGAGGTCGCAAAGAGTTGGACATGGTTAAGTGCACATGCAAAGCAAAAAGCCATGATGTACAAGGTCAAACCTGCAGTAGTTTTTAATGAATAAAATACAGTGAAGAAATGGGAGCTTTTCCTTCTCTTCCCATCACCAAACATGAGAGTCCAGGAGGCCTGTGGAAATACAGCTTGTAATGAAGATCATTTAGCCATATTGGCCTGAATTAGCCAGGTGCAACTGGCCAGATTAAAATACCCTTGTACTTTCTGTTTGTGTAATATTTATTGCAGACTGTTTCTCCATTCTCTCTCTCTCCCATTAGTGGAGCTAAGAAGTTATTTAGAACCTAGGGTTCAGACAACTTGCCATGATATTACATGCTAAAAAGACATTAACAACTTAGACCTCCACAAATTTTATAGATGATGAGCCTCAGGGCTGCTTCTCACCAGTTTTTAGCACACAGAATGAAATGATAGAGTACTGAAAGATCTCTTTTCAGTCAAAGCCCTTGCTAACCCTTGAGGAACTTGTTAAGAGCTCCATATATGTTAAGAACTCCGTAGTGCACAGGAGTTCACTCAAGTCCACGGAGGTCTGCTGGTGAATCTGTCCATGATTATATAATAACACAAAGGATTCACAGGGCTCTCCTTCAAAGAATGCAAAAGAAAAAAAGAAACCCCCAAGTTCACAGATACGGAGAACAGATTGGTAGTTGCCAGAGGGGGTAAGTGAAGAGAGGGTTGTCGAGGGGTGGTGAAATAGGTGAAGGCAGATCAAAAGTTATAAACTTTCAGTTATAAAATAAGTCAGGGGATATAATATGCAGCAGTATGACTATAGTTAATAATACTTTATTGCATATTGGAAAGTTTCTAACAGAGGAAATTTAAAATTTTTCATCATAGGAAAAACTGTAACCATGTGTAATAATATTTGTCTAGTTAACTAACTGACTTATTGTAATACTTTCATAATATAAACAAATATCAAATCATTATGTTGTACACTTGAAAATAATATTATATGTCAGTTATATCACAATAATGCTAAAATAAAATGACCCCCCCCCAAAACTAGGGAAGACCTAAAAATTGCAGGAATATAGACTATCAAGAAAAGCAAAAGCTGGTGATTTGAAATAATCAGTAAAATTGATAAAGGTCTAGGCAGGCCAAATGAGAAAAGAGGGAAGGCAGAAATTACTAAAATCAGGAATGAGCCTTTCCGGCAGTGACAACCTCCTCACGAGAACATGCCTCTCACAAAGGATTTTCTTCATCCCTCTCCAGAAGAGGAGAAGAGGAAACCCAAGAAGCGCCTGGTGCAGAGCCCCAATTCCTATTTCATGGCTATAAAATGCCCAGGATGCTATAACATCACCACCGTCTTTAGCCATGCACAAACAGTAGTTCTGTGTGTTGGCTGCTCTGTTGTCCTCTGCCAGCCTACAGGAGGAAAAGCAAGGCTTACAGAAGGATGCTCTTTCAAACGGAAGCAGCACTAAAAGCATCCTGTATCAGGATGAATGGGAAACCATCCCAATAAACACTTTTTGGATTAAAAAAAAATAAAATAAAATCAGGAATGAAAGGAACATAAGACAAGAGCATTTGATAAAACCTAACATCCACTTATGATAATGCACTAGTAACAGAGGCGAGTTCTGCCTCTTAAGATAGAACATTTGCATGAAATCTGTAGGCAACATCACACTTAATTATGAGAAACAAGAGGCTTTTTTTTTGGTAGGATACTAAGACACTAGGTAAGGTGTCCTTTCACCACTCTTGTTCAACACTATACTGGAAGGCCCAGCTAATGCAATAAAGCAAGAAAAGGAAATAAAATATATACAGATTAGGAAGGAAGAAATAAAACTGGCTCTGTTGTGTGTGATATGATTTTCTGTGTAAAATATCTGAAAGGATTCATAACACCAGATATCACTCCAGCAATTAATAAGAGAATATGGAAAGACTGAGGATATAGAAGTCAACTGTTTTCTTATAGATCCAGAGAAATATAGCTATCTGACGTTTGATAAAGGACTAAAAGGCAATTCAATGGAGAAAAGAAAGACTTTTCAACAAATAGTGCTATATATAGTGGATATTCACATGCAAAAAACAAGTAAGTAAATCTACACACAGAACTTACAGAAAATTTAAAGTAGACGATAGTTCTAAATGTAAAATCCAAAAGTAAAAAATTTCTAGAAGATAAAGAGGAAAAACTCCAGGGGATCTTGTGTTAATTGACAAATTTTAAGATACAACACCAAAAGCAAGATTCAAGAAAGAAAAAAATAAGCTTCATTTCATTAATATCCCTTATTCTATAAAAGACAAGGGTAAGAGAATATAAAGACAGTCACAGATTGTGAAAAAAATCTTTGCAGAATAAAGATTTTTTTTTTGCTCAGTTGTGTCTGACTTTTGCAACCCCATGGACTGTAGCCTGCCAGGCTCCTCTGTGAATGGAATTTTCCATGCAAGAATACTGTAGTGGGTTGCCATTTCCTACTGCATATCTGACAAAGGATTGGTATCCAATATGTTCAAAGAACTCTTAAAATACANCATGGACTGTGCCTGCCAGGCACCTGTCCATGGGATTTCTCAGGCAAGAATAATGGAGTAGGTTGCCATTTCCTTCTCCAGGGGATCTTCCCGACCCAGGGATTGAATCTGTGTCTCCGCATCTCCTGCATTGGCAGGAGGATTCTTTACCACTGTGCCACCTGGGAAGCCCCACCCCAGGCTGAGATATAATCTCTAAGGAGGGTCAGTCCCTGGTGAAGGAGGATAGGGATGCCTGAGAACTCTGCTCACCTCCTCAAAAAATGAGGAGACGCTCAAGGAAGATTCAGTTTAAGATCAGACTCAACCCCCCAATTCACAGGCTCTTTGTCCAGGAGACAGAACTCCTGACCACAGACTTTTTCAATAGACAAAATACACTCTGAGTGCACTTACATCATAGAAGCAGAACTCAAACATAACATGTAAAGACCTCTATGCCAAAGAAAACCCCCACTGTCTGCTCTGCTTCAAAAAGCAGGGAGCATTAGTTTGGACTCACTGTCCTCAGGCTCTGCTCTAGAGTCACAATACTTTGAATTACCATTGAACTGACAAAATGATACTTCACAAGAAATCCAGCAAAAGCACTCAACCCAGTGTTTATGTGTAAAGGAAGATAGAAAATTGTGACGCAATTTTATTTGTTCAACAGGCGAACTCCAATATATCTATTCCTATCAGAAAATGAAGAGGTCATTTCTTTTCAAAAAAAGAAACCAAATTGTAAATGATCACAGGGAACACTTTTAGATATTGCAAGTCTAAGTCCTGATACGCCATTCGAAATGACCCCAAAGGCCTCAGACTATAACTACATCTATTCAGAGTTAAAAAAATATTAAACAGAAATTTAACATGTAGAACGTAATAATGAGATTCTTTTTTTCTGAGATTCACCTTTCTTGCCTCTTTGGAAAAGCTTTACACTGTCTCCCCAGCTCTACTGAGTAAATAAAATTCAAATTTATTGAAAAACTGAGTCTCAAATAAGTGAACACATCTTTTCAAAGTGAGAAACTCAGGAACAGAGGCACTGCGAAAAGGCAGATGACCTAGGAAAGTTATTCAAAAGGATCCTCTAGCCAAAAGTCTTCAGGTCTGTGAGAAGACAGATTTTGAGAGGAGAGGCACAACGATTTCAGTTTCAAAGATTTCATAACATATTCCAGGTGATTTTTTTTTGTTTTCCTCTCAAGTAAATAGTCATAAAAACAAATCTTTAAAAAGAGTCATCCATGGCTCTGTGGATAAGTAATAAACAAAATACAACATCACTTTGAAATGTACCAAGAAGAAAAATAGGTAAAAGTGATACTATGAACTGCAGAGGGGAAGATGGCATTTGGGAATGTGCGGAAAGATCTGGAAATTCAGGGATTTATTGCCAGTCCTAGGAAAGGCTAGGCTGGGTGGACAGGTTCGTGAATTTGAGGACCTGCTCCTCAAGCATTTTAAAAAGTGAGAGTAAAACGATTCTCCTGCAGAAAAAGGGAGAAAAGGACACACTACAGACCACAGCTGCTCCCACAGGCGAACCCTGGAGACCGACTCACTATTGCCCCGTGTTCCTCCCTATGGCCATCGCGCAGTCTAGGGGAGATTTGGGTTTGCAGTGACAGGACAGGATGTCAGGGTGTCCTGGCTGCCAGTCCAGTCCCCACGCTGTATGCCACGCAACCGGCGAACCCGGGTCCGCAGACTCTGGAGTTAGCTGCGGGGAAACCTGGCTCCATCCACGGCCCCTCTCTCCCAACACCTGACTCCGCACATTCAACATTTTTCGGTTTCTGGAGTTTCCAGTCATCCCCCCACGACACTCCGCGACAACTGCTCTCACGACGACACATAATGCGACATAGCCACCTGGGGCCTTAAGTCAGTTATAGCTGATGCGGCTGGCTCCAGAAGAAAAATCTACACTGAGCACGCAGTCCATACCTCCCACGTCATCCAAGAGGCGCCACCAAATAATCAGGCGTAAAATAATCAGCGACTCCCCTGATTGGACAGTTTGCAAGGCCACGCCCCCTGTACCTGAGTGACAGGAGGCCGGAGGGCGTGTCTTTGAACTGACCAAGTTCTCATAGTGGGTGGGAAGTGGTCTCTGTAGGAACATTTATAGATTCTTGATATATTACAGCATCAAGCCATAAGGTTTCAAGGCCGGGCAGGAAACTGGGACCCTTCTTCATGAATATGGACACTTGAAAGTGTCCTCATTATTAGATAATAATGAGTTCCTTCTGGGGACTACCTGTTGGTCCAGAGGTTAGGACTCTAGTGTTTCCACTGCAAGGGAGACAGGTTCCAACCCTGGTCCCAGGAACTAAGATCCTGCAACTCTCACAGCGCCAAAAAAGAAAAAGAAAAATAAAAAGAGAGTCTGTTCCATTTTATCTATGATCATTTCCTGTAGAATTCTGTCCATCCTTCCCCACCACAATTCATTTGGTACTTTAAGAAGAGGTCTCCTGAGGACTTCCCTGCTGGTACAGTGGATAAGAATTCGCCTGCCAATGCAGGCGACACAGGTTCAGTCCCTGGTCCAGGAAGATTCCATATGCCATGGGGCGATTAAGCCTGTGTGCCACAACTATGAAGCCCATGTACCCTAGAACCTGTGCTCTGCAGTAAAAGAAGCCACGGCAATGAGAAAGCCTGAGCACCACAATTAGAAACTAGCCCCTGCCCACTGCAACTGGAGAAAGACTGCATGCAGCAGTGAAGACCCAGTGCAGCCAATAAATAAGGAAAAATGAAAAAGGAAGACTCCTGTCTAATAGCAGTGTAAAACATTAAAAGAGCTGTATATTTTAGAACTTATTTACAAATCTATGTAGTACCCCTAAGATGACATGGGAGACAAAAGCAAAGACACCTGAAGATATTTTAGCCCCTGGTAGCCAGGGCAAATAATAAATAAAGCCCAAACCCTTCTCAGATAAACTAAAATCTCACACTATAGGCCTATATAACTCAGTTCTTTCTAGCAGTAAGATTATGTCTGATATTCAACAAAAAATTAAAAGACAATGAGAGATTTAAAAAACACATCTCCAGGATTAGGACAAACAAAGGAACCTGATTCAGATGTAGCAGATACGTTGGAATTATCAGACCAGTAATTTAAAGCAACCATGGTTCATATGCTAAGTGTTCTAATGGAAATAATGGATGATATTCAAGAACAGATAGGTAACGTATACAGAGACAAAAACTCTAAGAAAGAAGTTAAAGGGAAATTAAAGAAATGAAAAATAAAAGAGCAGAGCAAAAATAAAGAATTCTTTGTTGGGGGAATCTTATCATTACAGTGCAAATGTGTGAGGAAAAAGAATCAGCAGCCTTGCAGAGCTGTCACCAGAACCTTCTGAACTGAAATGCAAAGTTAAGAACAGAAATCAAGAGCTTTGGGACAATTAAAAAAGGGTTTCCCTGATGGCTCAGTGGTAAAGAATCCCCCTGCCAATGCAGGGGACATGGGTTTGAACCCTGATCCGGGAAGATCCCACATGCCATGGAGCAACTAAGCAAGTGCGCCACAACTATTGAGCCTGTGCTCTTAGAGTCTGGGAGCTGTGTGCCCTAGAGCCTGTGCTCTGCGACAAGAGAAGCCACTTCAATAAGAAGCCCAAACACCGCAACTAGAGAGTAGCTCCTACTCGCCACAACTAGAGAAAAGCCCACCCAGCGATGAAGACGCAGTGCAGACAAAAATAAATACATGAATAAATAAATGAATTATATAAAAAGTGTAACATATACAAAATGATAATACATGAAAGAGAAGAAAGGAATAGAATAAGTAAAAGAGTAGTGAGTGAGATTTCCCCCAAAATTAATAATGGATACCAAAAATGCAGATCTGGGCAGTTCAAATTTCACTGAACAGGATAAAACTTAAAAAGTCAAACTCAAGAAAAATCTAAGACAAAAAGAAAATCTTTAAAGAAGTCAGGGGGGAAAAAAACAGATATTTACCATGGAGAACTAAGGATAGGAAGTAAATTGGACTTCTTTTCAGAAACCATGCAAGCAGGAGGAGAGTTTTATAAAATACAGTGTTGAAAGAGAAACCACCCAACTATAGTTGTGTCAAACAAAATTATCTTTCAAAAGTTGAGGGAGAGGGAATCCCCTGTTGGTCCAGTAGTTAGGATTCTGTGCTATCACTGCCAAGGGTATAGGTTCAATCCCTGGTGGGGGAACTAAGATCCCACCAGCTGCATGGCAAAAAAAAAAAAAAAAAAGAAAAAGTGAGTGAGAAATAAAAGATTTTCAAAAACCTAAGGGAATTTGTCACTAGTACCCCTGCTTTGCAAGAAATGTTAAAAGAAATTCATCAGGAAAAAGGTAAAGGAAAAAGGTTAAGTGTTAGAGAAGGAACAAGTGAAACTAATAATTAAATCTTAAGTAATTTGTTTTTGTTATTTTTAATCAATCTGACAGGTAACATTTTATTGAAAATAATAACAGCAGCAACATATTCAGTGATTACACCTTTTGGATGAGTGAAATGAATGACAGAAATGCTATAAGGGGCAGGGAGAGAATTTGCACACCCAATTACTTCAGAGAGGACCTGGCTTAGTTGTAAGTGTATACTACAAACTCAACGGCAATGACTAAAAATGTTGAAAAAAGTTATGATATGCTAAGAGAAAACATGGA